TAATTAGTATTGAAATTCTAACATTACCCTTCCGCATCATGTAAGATGCTCTTTTCCAATCTTTGATCGTAGCGGCAAAATTGTCATTACATAAGTACACAGTATGGAATGAGATTAACGAGGATTTTTTTTTAACATTAAAAATTAATTAGTTGGCGTTGCATGGTTTTATTTTTTATTTTTTATTTTTTATTTTTTATCCTCTATCAAGATTTTATATTATCAAGTAGCAAGTGCACCAATTATGAGATTAAAAGGATTAAGGTCACCTCTTGTTACCTAACTTTTTTTTTGAGATTTTTTTGAACTTCAGAAATATGGGGATGGGGAATTTTTGGAGGAAAGGACTCAAACATAACATTAATGCTCGGGCAACTAGCACTACTAATGCTTGTTACATGACTAACCACAATAAAACCTGTCTGTGACTTCTCTAGCCACCTAGCTTTAAGTGTATGGTGCAGGGCAGAACTGCAAATTTTGAATGGATTTGATGAACCTAATAAAACTTGCAAAGTTTCACAGGAGGAACTGGTGACTGGTGAGGCTATCCCCACTTGTTCGTTCTTTCTATTCTTTAACAAGTAGAAGCTGCACAGTCATAGCTGATCTGCACATTTTGTTGGGTTTATCTTACTTCCTTCTTGGGGTGAGCACCAACTTCTGTCAAGTTGGTGCACTCTGTTTCCCTTCACATATACTGGATTTGCATTTTTGGTCTTCCAATGCCATCATCATCTGATACCCTTCATGATGCTCACTCTGAATTTTAGGTAACCTTCTCATATAATCAAAATGAGGGTTATCCATAAATGTCCTGAGAAGGTTAAAACTTAGTTATTGTTCAGACCCTTGACCTTGACATCAGAAAGAATTGTAGGACTGTAGGAGACTGTATCCATTCACAAGGGAGAAGTGAGAAAATTAGCTTTATTAATGAATTTATCACATGAAGATACATAAATTTTGGTACTTTATAACACTTGTGACACTATTTCAAAAGTAGTACTGATTGCCTCATGTTGCGGCACTACCTCTTCAGTGTGGCCATTTTTTTTCCTACATCTATAGATATTACAAAAAAGAAATCATTAAAAAGTTTGTTACATATCACATTTATATATTTTATTTAATCTACTTTTTTTTAATATATGACATAACTTCTTTTTTTTTTGTAAATTTCTTTCTTTTAAATTTTTTAAAAATGTAATTAATATTATTACTATAATTAAAAAAAATAAAAAATATCATATTATTTAATGAGTTATTCTATCATTAATTAATATATATTACAACTATACATTTAAATTGTACAATACATTTTGTTGGCTGCACTTTTTTCTCTAAGAGCATTCGGAGCGTTATTTTTTTTTCTTTCTCTGGCCATTTCTTGCAACGTTTCCGTTTCCTTTTTTTTAAAAGTAATTAATAACTAATAATAATTAATACAATAATATTTAAATTCGAATAGTGATTACATGATATTTATAAAATTAAAGGAAGTGTGAAGCTTTATTATTTTTTTTCAACAATATTAGAGCTTCTTATAAGGAGAGAGCTAGGTGTGAAAAAATAACAATGCCAATAAAAAAGTTTTGAATTTAGATGCATACAAAACGGAGTATAGAAAAGTTCTTTTTCCTCCCTTTTATAAAATGAAGTTATTGTCACGCCCTCAATCGCTAATGTAACATTTTTTTTTATTTTAATTAATTATATACTTTTAATTTATTAAGAAATAAAAAATGTAAAATTTTAAGAAAAAATGTGAGGATAAAATAGATAATTACAAATGTAGCAAAAAAATTATTTTGCTTTAGGATTTGAAAATCTCTCCTAAGGGTGTGTTTGGTTTGAAGGAAAGGGAGTGATGGATTTGTCAACCAATTAGATTGTAATAGTTGTGAGTAAAAGTGCAAATAAGGATTCCAACTTTATACTTTTTTTATTTAAGGATGTTAATTTTATCAGTTTCTAAATAAGGATGTCAACTTTCAATTTTTTCTAAATAAGGATGTTAATTTTGTCAGTTTCTAAATAAAGATGTCAATTTTCAACATTTTTTATTTAAAGATGTCAACTTTCAACTTTTTCTATTTAAGGATGTCAACTTTCAACTTTTTCTATTTAAAGATTAATTGAATAGTAATGCTAACGTGGATAACATATTTTTTTAGGTTAAATATTTGAATTGGTCCCTCAACTTTTATTTTTGAACCAATTCATCCTTGAACTTCAGAAAGTACCAAAAACATCCTTCAACTTCAATTTTCAATTTCATCTTTCCATCAGTTAAATGTTGATGTAGCTAATTTTTTTGCTAAGTGATTGACTATTTTACATTTTCAATATTAGGTGGGATATCCATCATGTAAAAGATGATTATGTGGATTTTTTAAATTTTAAATAATTTACAACTACTTTAATTCTTAATTTTACTTTATTTATATTTAAAAATTAAAACGATTAATATATTTTCCCATTTAATTAGTCCCACCTACCATTTACTAAAATTAAATAAAATTTAATTAATTCTTCCATGAATTAGGAAATAATTTTATTAATTGAAAATTGAAGTTGAAGGACGTTTTTGGTACTTTTTGAAGTTCAAGAATGAATTGGTTCAAAAATAAAAGTTGAGGGACCAATTCAGGTATTTAACTTAAAAAATATGTTAGCCACGTCAACATCACTATTCAATTAATCCTTAAATAGAAAAAGTTGAAAGTTGATATCCTTAAATAGAAAAGGTTGACTGTTGACATCCTTATTTAAAAACTGACAAAGTTAACATATTTATTCAGAAAAAATTAAAAGTTGACATCCTTATTTAGAAACTGACAAAGTTAACATTCTTAAATAGAAAAAAGTGCAAAGTTGGAATCCTTATTTGTACCTTTACTCTTTGAAAATGCTATAATTTGATTAGTTATAAAACACATTCCTTTTGTCAACGACGTAAATAATTCAATGGTAATATCTTTTTAGTAGAAGTAAAAGTTTCAAAATTTGAATCACATGGCATACGAGTGACATGAGTTAAAGGATAAAAAAGAGTTGCTTAGCAAAAATGAAAAAAAAAAAAACCTCATTTGCTATCTTTCATCCATATCTTTCAAACTAAATATATATACTATTTAAAGGTGACAATTTTTCCTTTTCTCCCATGGGGTCTCCATTTAATGTACCCTTAAAAATACAATAATTTTTTTTTATAAATTATTGTAAATTGGGTTCAACCCACACTTTAACAAATGTCAATATATTTACTTAATTTATCATTCATTTTAATGACAAAACCTAATATTTACTATTCAATTCAAGTTTAACTTAACTATTTAGCACATTTTCCATTTAATATTGTAAAGAAAAAATCACGTGGCAAAATTTTATAAATGATTGTAAATTGAGATGAGGGAAAATTCTTTTTTCTCCTTCAAAAAATCACCATGGGGATGGGGAGCGGTCTTTGATCGCATGAGGCCTTATTACCATTACTAATATCTCCACACTAACAATTAAAATGTTCATACACATTGAGAATTTGGAACCAAATCATATTTGTTGTGAATATTGAAAATGCTATTGTTTCTTTTATTGGCTAATTAACAGTTAACACTAATGCTTTTTTTTTTCTTTTTTTTTTTGTTTAAGGGACAGGAGAGGAAGAAAGCTTCTCTATTTGGATAATAAAAAATTGGAGGGGAAATGAGAGGAAGTGAGGGGTTTTTCTTTCCTTTATTATTATTATTATTAGTATTAGTATTATTTTGCATGTTAGTCTAACCAAATGAGAGGAGGCGACTTTGTTTCCCTTAAACCAAACCTGAGGTAAATGCATGGATGATTCTCTTGTTTCAATTCCTTGGATTGCTTTGTTTTCATTCATTATTTGAGAAATTTAGTAACAAAAAAATGACAAGCTTTATGAAGATTCTTATTTCAAGATTCTAAATGAAACTATTGGATTTTAGTCAATTTTTCCTATTTGGTCTGATTTATTTAATACACAACTTGGTATGTTTTGCTAACATAAACCTTCTCTATATTTTATTAAACATGAATACTAAGGGGCTACCTTTCTCAAACCTATTGGTAGATGAGGGATCTTTAAAGATCATAATGACTATTAATTATGGGATTTGCTAAGAATATAAGCATTATTAATAGAGCAAGTGTTATGGTATCCAAGACTTAGGCAGGTAAACAAACTTTAAAGGGGTCAACCTAGTAAACAGGGAAATTAGAGCAAGAAACCAAAGACAAAGGACACCAGAAATTGGTCGAACGTTATCATGAGACCTCCTTCCTTTTTGCCCTTGTTGTATTCATACAAGAATTAAAAAAATTTTCCAAATCCTTGCACGTGAATTGCACGTCCATTGCACGAGATCATTTTAATGTTCCTTTCTCGAATTTAAATAAGAGAAATTGGTATACCTTAGTTAATTTTAATTAACTTAATCGCTTCTTGATTGATTGAGATTACTTCAAGTCAAATTAAGATTGGAGTTAATTAAAAATGATTAAGGTAAACAGGGAGACTGGAGCAAGAAACCAACGAGAAAGGATGCCAAAAATTAGTTGAATGTTCACTTGAGACCTCCCTCGTTTCTACCCTTCTTGGATTCAAAAGAAAAACCAAAAAGTTTTCCAAATTGTTGCACGTGAATTGCACAAGATCATTTTTATGTTAGTTTCTCAAATTTAAATAAGAGAAATTGATATACCTTGGTTAATTTTAATTTTAACTAAGTTAATCACCTCTTGATTGATTGAGATTATTCCAATTCAAATTAAGATTATAGTTCATCGAGAATGATTGAACTTAGCCCGGCCCATACCCATTTTGGGTTCCTTCTTTTTTTTTTAATTAATTAATAACCAATAGTGAAGAATAATGATACATAAATATTGTAACATAAAAATTTTGATTATTTTGATTAATTAAATAAAATAAAATGGAAAATATGGTACCATAGGTAGTAAATATATACTTGTGTAGAGATAACTAGCATCTGGCTTGCAAAGAAAGTGATCTTTTTGAGGTAAAACAACTGAATAACATCCATAATGTTGATTGCGTAAGCGATACTACCACCAGAAGTAGCCTTGGTGTTAGAGATATTCTCTTTGATGTTAAATGGGCCAAGGTTTAGAGAAAACTCCCATCTAGTACTGTAGATGCGAAACTTGGTGCGGGGAAGCACTTTGGCCAAGAACTTACCAATGGGGAGAGTGACCAATTGGACAAAGATCATCAAGACTAAGAGCAGTTCCATATGGTATCTGAAGAAGTTGTTAAGGCACGAGAGTAAAATGCAGGACATCATCCCTAAAAACCACACTCGAAATGTCAACACTAGGAGCTCTAGGTTGTCAGTGGTGGGTATGGTTAGCTAGACTTCTTCGATAGGAGAGATCGTTTTCTCTATGATTTCTTCTTCTTCCTCCACAATTTCCTTGGCTAAATTCTCACCATTGAACTCTATATCAACAAGCACGATTTCTTCCTCCTCCTCCACAATTTTCTCAACTACATTCTCATTATTGAAATCTATATCAACTTTCTCCATGATTTCGTCAGTTGCGTTCTCACCACTAAACTCATCCATTGGCATGATTTTTTCCTCCTCTTGCACAATTTGCTCATACCTCGAATCCTTCTCTTTTGAGAACTATCACTACCACTAAAAATTGTTGGATCACTCATCAATGTCATCAGCTTCAAATGATGGCTTCGGGGAAGCCACTGCTGACTTGGATGATGCTGACATCGAGAGGTAAGGGGTTCTTGATGGGCGGCCTACGAGGTTCAGAACTAAACTCCCCTAATCTTTGCCATTCATCTACTGACTTGAAGTCCCATGCTTGCTTCTTTCATAAAGTAATCTAGTCTGTCTTTAACAAAGTCAATTCTACAAATAAGAGGTCTAGAGTGGATGAATTAGGTGAGTGGATTGGAGGGACATGGACTTGGAGATGGAATTTGCGTAGAGAATTGTTTGCGTGAGAACTTGGAGATGGAATTTGCGTAGAGAATTGTTTGCGTGAGAATCTAATCTTGTGAAGGAACTGAATGAATACCTTAATATAACACACATTACACAAGGGGTGGTAGATCAATGGGTTTGGAAATGGGAAAGCAATGGCAAGTATTCTATAGCGCTTGCTTCGACTTGAAAGACAAAGCAGAGAAGATGGCATGCAAATTGATGAACATGA